TTCAACAAAATACATTTTCACATAGATTTCAACCTCCAGAAATTCCTTTTGGATAAGTCCTACCATTTTTTCGGGATAACCAATTGAATTGTGTCATTTTTAGGACTTTTTAGAAAAATTAAATTTCAAACCAAAGATTTCCTAAATGTTGTCACGGGACTTCAAACGCTATATTTTTGAAATTAGTGCGTCGAAATATTCTCTGAATTTTCTAATAATTTTTCGGCAACTTTTTCAAAAGCAAAATTTTTTAATACTTCATCTTTTTGAAAATTTTGGCCTATTTTTGACCATTTCCGAAATTTAACCAAATACATTTTCTTGTAGATTTCGACTTCTAGAAGATACTTTCGGCCCTATTTCTTTAATAACTCCTATCATTTTTCCAGAATCGCTAGGATTTTTAAAAAAAAACTGGATTGCAAACCGATTATTTCCTAAATATTTTCCCGAGACCTTAAATGCGCCATATTTTTGAAATCACTGCGTCGAAATTTATATCTCTAATTTTTTTGGAAATTTTTCGACGACTTTTTCAAAAGCAAAATTTTTCAATATCGCGCTTTCATGGAAATTTCGCCCAACCATTTTCAGAATTTAACGAAATACACTTTCTCGTAGATTTCTACCTCCAGAAGTTCCTTTCGGTCCCATTTCTTGGATAACTCCTACCATTTTTTCAGAATAACCAATTGAATTGTGTCATTTTTTAGAATTTTTCAAAAAAATTAGATTTCAAACCAAATATTTCCTAAATGTTGTCTCGGAACTTTAAATGCGCTATATTTTTGAAATTAGTGCGTCGAAATCTACATCTCTGAATTTTCTAATAATTTTTCGGCAACTTTTCCAAAAGCAAAATTTTTCAATATTTCGTCTTTTTGAAAATTTTGGCATATTTTTGACCATTTCCGAAATTTAACCAAATACATTTTCTTGTAGATTTCGCCCTCTAGAAGATACTTTCGGCCCTATTTCTTTAATAATTTCCACCATTTTTACAGAGCGCCAATTAAAATGTGGCAATTTTTAACATTTTCCAAAAAAAATTGGTTTTCAAACCGAATATTTCTAAAATTTTGCCCTGCAACCATAAAAACGCTATTTTTGGAACTTTTTCGACAACTTTTTACTGTGAGATGAAGATCAAATTCAATTTGTCAAGTGTTCGAATCTAAGATGAAAAATAATTCATATGCCTCACTCTATATACAAGTTCTTTGTACTGGAGTTGCCATTTTTACCTAAAAATTATAACAAGTTTCAATTTATTCGAATCATTTATTTGTTAGATATTTGGCACTTTTAACGCTGATTAAAAAATCGTGCTGGCGTTTAACGCGCGATTAAAATATCTGTCTAAAGCGTGTAACGATCATTAATTAACTACTTTTATCTCGAAAATAATATCATAAACCTTCCAGTTTCAATTTTAAAACTAGCTGTAGTGTGTTGAAACTAACGTGAAAGCAGCAGGGGACTTTCAGCGTGTCCGTAAGGATTCCTACATCATTTCTTAATTTAGGATATATTTATCAACAATATCGAACATATAGTCAATTAAAATACATTACATAAGGCGATATCTTTACATCTAAAATTATAAAATGTGATATTACAGCTCATAGTTTATGCGTCAAGTTTCTCCAGTCATAAAATAAATCCACTGAAATATGATAACTAGAGACGCCTTTCGATGCTCGAGCTTCACCAAATAAGAAAAGGTCGTAATTTTTATGAGTTTTTAAATTTAAGGCCCCGGGACAGGAAGACGCGTTTCACTTACGGAAGTTCGCTCATTAGTAAAATAAAAAATAACTTTAACGTTTTGGCAAACCTGAGTAATTTTATTCTATTACTTTACCACTGTTCTCTGCTGTTCCAGCGACTTAATATTGAGGTTACAAGTTAAAATGTTTAGAATTCTTTTAACAGTTTACCAGTTAATCCAAAACGTGGAACTATTTGGCACGCATTATTGCGGAAACATAAAAAACGTGAAGACAGGAACGAAACGGCTGTTTTTCCACAATTTGTTTATTTAATTTTCCTCATGTAACGTTAATTCACTGTTTACAATGTCATTTCGTTGTTATTAAGCATTTTCTAGTTTATTATGGCAACTAAATCGCAGAAATATTTTAGATATACCGATATTGCATTCTCAATAACACTTCAATGTTGAATTGTGGCATTATGAGGAGTCCATGCGAAAACAAACATCGCATTACAAATAAACCGAGTGCCACATTTTCGAAAAACTCTCGATTTTACCTTCAAACGCACGATAAGAGTTACCTTCAGCCCAATATATGTGTATGTAACGATATCACGCGCTGATAACGGTAGACTTTGGCTACCGGAATCCACCACACTCGCCAAAACATGTGTCATTCTTTAGTTTTACGCCGACTAAACGTGATAAGGAAAATCACGCAAATTATGGCCGCATCGTTATTTATGGACTTCTTGAAGCTTTACGAAATTTCCACGAATTTCAGGGACGATAACCTCGAGATAACACCCCTTTGGTCGTGCCGACACGGCCGAATTTTACAAAAACATATTTTCAGTTTGATTTTTACGATTCGAAAATGGACTAGCCTTGAGCAAAGGGAGAAATTAATTGGCTTTATTTCTTCATGTAAAGTCAGTTGTGAAGTCAGGAAGTTGGCGAACTTCACGATTAACTGCAGGTAGATATATGTTTATTACTTTAATTACGTATTTACCAGCAGGTATTTACTCGTTTTTATTAATTGTAAATGCAGGAGACATAAATTGTCATCGTTGTAAATAATTATGTACTTCAATTAGTCGTGTTTCCGGGCAGTGTTAATTAATTTTGAGGTTGTGGCACACGTGTTTGTTTTTTTTTTTATGAAGATAAATCAGCGTCTGACAAATTCAAAAACTAGGGGAAGTTTCTAGACCAAAGAGCCCTCTCAGTCCAGTATTTGTGTCACAAAAATAACATAAAACCACACTCTGAAAAGAATTCTGTTTTATTTTTCAAATTAAATTGTAAAATTGCAGATTTACTACGTTACATGTGTAAACGATCAATTAAAATTGATTTATTAATTTGACGTGGCGGTGGTGCTATAAAAGCAAAAGTAGAATTTTATTGGACACGAAATTTTATCCCGGGTCGGAATGCGAATTAACCGATGGTGTTAAAAATAAAAAACACATTCCTTTAATTCTTCTACGATTTTCCAACGTTGATTTTTGTTCTGCTCTGATCTAATTTTCGGTTTATAAACCTTATCAACCACAACTCTAATTGTTTCACGCTATAATAAATCGGTTTTTCAAATTGTCATTAATCATACTACAATACACCAGCACATCCTGAAGATAACAATATTCCACGAAATTTAGAAAACATCTATGACTATTATACTACAATAATGCACTTTTATCTAATTCGTCGAAATCTGCTCTTGCTTAACCGTCCATCCGTCCGTGTTATTCAACTCGATGGGCAATATTTTACAATAAGTGTTCAATATCCGACGGTATTTACTTATCTAATAAATTTTTATAGAGTAATTTAATGTAAAGTTTATACTTATAGGTAATTTTGTAGGAGTGTTAATGTTATAAGGAACAGAATTTATTGCTTAATATACACCGATAATTTTTTAATTGGAAAGCTAGTTGATGTGGGTATTTGTCTGTGATGATGTGCAGGTCAGGACCGGACTTTCATTTTCGAAGTGCTAAATGTGCAATTAAAAAACAGGGTTTCATCAGATATAAGCGCGATGTGACGCCACGGAAAATAATCAGTATTACTCATTTAAAATGTGCGATTCGTGGAAAGTGACATAAGTTCTTTTGTCAAGTGGGGAGTGGAGTCACAGATTCCATGAAGTGATGTGTTTGGTATGAGAAATGAAATTTTTATATTATACTGAAAATTATTAAAAAAATTAACATAAAGATTTTGGTTTTATTTTTTAGAATTAATGATTACTTTTATTTAAATTGTTTTGCAAAATTATATTGATTCAGTAATAAAATTTAGAAAAGATTAAAAAAAAAGAAACTTAGGTATATTAAATTTTATTCGATTTTATCTACTTTCTTTATAATATTATAATAATTTATATTTATTTAATTTAAAAGTGCAGTCGCCAGTGCGGTTGCAGTTTTATAAAAACTACCATTGCAGTAACGATTTTTATGGCTTGAATGTGACCAGTGCATGAGAATTTTGAGGTTTATGAATTGTATAATAGGATTTTTTCTTGAATTAATGAAACGTCAGCTTGTCGATTTTCGTTAAAAGCGGAAAAAGTGAGTCTTAGAGGAACATAGAAATAACATACGAAGGTCAAAGAAAAATAAAAAATATGATAATCGCACTTAAAAAGCACTGCAAGAGTATGGAAAATACTTAAATTATCTCTTTTTATTTGACCATTAAAAATGATTGCAACATTGTTAATTAAAATTAATATCTAAATAATTATATGGTTCGTTATACGATACGTAATAAGTACGTAAAAAGAATCATTAAACAAATTTTAAACACAACATAAAAATACTTTTTAATGACAGGATTAGTAATAATAAGTTTTTATCGGTTTCACTCTTGATGCGTGATAAGAGAAGTGAACGACATGTATTCATTGTACTTGCGATATTTCCTTACACTTTTATTACCATAATATTTGTAGAGCAAACCAAACACAAATAAAAAATTTCAAAATGAATTTTTAATAAATTAGAACTTAAATTTTTGGTTTATAATTTACGATTAATTTTTTGTCTCCCTTCCAAGCTAAAATTCCGTTTAACCTAGCCGCTGCATTTTTTTTTTTCAGAATAAAATTTTAATTATAGGCTATCAGGTAACAATATCTATCAGTTATAAACCAGAATAGAAAAATATCTTTATCAAAAACTACGCGTGGTATCTGTTGGGCGTCAGAGTCTTGGTAAGTTCACCAAAATTTTTATTTTTTTCTGTAGCAATGAAAAAGTGTTACCTGGTCGCGTCGCGAAGGGCCTGATGGGCTGGACCGTGTAAATCCCCGCCGCCCCGAACCCGTGGTGGTGCTGCCCCAGGAAGTCCCCCACACTGTCCTGTCCCGAAGGACTCAGTCTGCAGCACCTGAATATCGACGTGACACAGTCCGAACAAGGCACGGGCACGGTCGCTAAAGGCTTGGCCACACTGACACTTTTGCCGTCTTTGAAGGGCTCGTCGGCCAGCAGCCTGTCGATGCCGAACTTGAGCGAGTCCTTGTCGGGCTTGGTCCTGGACATGTCCATCTTGGGGTCAGAAACGTCGGCTACTCGCCGGGCAGCGCTCCATGCCCGTGCTCAGCTAATAGGCACTAATTGGCGACTAATGGTGCGGTAATAGGCCGGTCCACGCGCTGAGTAAGATGCTGGGAGGAGCGATGGCCACACTTTATCTCATTGGTTTCTGATTTTGTTAATGTTCTTAGGCGGCGTCTCGCATGCGGCGATCGGGGACAGGGGCGGCGGGTGTGGGGGGACGGGTTTTACTGGACTTAAGTAGTGGGTGCGTGGATTGAATTTTATGTGAGTTTTTTTAATAATATTTAATTAAGATATTCGGGTTAGGAGAGATTGGGTTTAAAGTTGATCGATGGGAGTGGAGGATGGTTGTTGCTTAATTGAGAAACAAAGACGTTAATAGCTCGTAAAATTGTGGACGTTATTAGGTAATTAAATGTAAACAAATTCTGTGTTGATGTAAATTACAATAATAAAACTTATTATTAATGTTGATGGGTAAGACATCAATCTTATCTGGTTTTTATCAGTGGTAGTAAACTGATTTTTATTGTAAGGAGATATGTTTAATGTTGTCGAAGAAAATAGAATTTAATTCAATTTTGAAAAGAACGAAATAAAAAATTAAAAACCAATATTATTGGGAAAAAAGAAATGAAATCCGCAGACAGGAAAAAATCATAGTCTGGAATAATGGTGCATCATTATTATTAATAATATTTTACAAAACGATATTTATATTATACAGAGATTGTGTAAAGAAATGGGGGGAAAATGAGCTAGAAATGATAAAAACAAGTATTAGTAGAAATAGAAGATTAAGTATATTTTGCAAAATAAAACATGTTTTCGCGGGCATGGGTCGGTTGCGCGCCACGGTCACAAAAATCCGCAGGTAGTGATACTCTGAACGACAGTTGCGCGCAAACTACTTGAGAGGCAAGGGACACTTGCGAGCAACGGTAACAAAAATTTGCTCATAATTTTAAGCATTTAATAGTTGTTTGCCTGTCGTATTAGTTTACATGGGTGTTAGTCACATATACGCTCTTACAATCCGTATTTGTGCGCATCAAGTGTCTTATGACCCTTTTGGGGATTAGATCTGTCACATGAGGTACGCTAACCGCGGCGCGCAAGTGACCAACACCATAAAAAAACAAATGGAACAAAAAATATACATCCTGAATGTTCATTTTATCGATGATTTTAGTAGCAAACTTCTCGAGTGATGTATTTTGTAAAAGAATCTAATTTAATTATAGTTCAAATAATCGAATAATCAGAAAACAAGGAAAGCATAGATAGATATTATTAAATTGGTATGACAAAGTGGAATTAGGAAGTGAAGAGATACAAAGAATCGATCAATACGGATAAAGAATCATGAGTAGTCAGAAAAGTCAATTTCGTGTAGATTAGATTTATCTGTGCCACAAGGAAGACGAGATAAAAATATTACAAGTGATAAAATATTATATAAATAGTAAATATAAATAAATCAGTGAATGCCTAACTTTTTATTTGATGTAGGATGATTCTTTCGATAATAGCCCTCCGGTACGCGTCGGGATATTGCAAAACCTATTGGTATAAAATTATTTTTCAAAAACACAGAAAGAAGTAAATTTTGAGTGAAATTAAAATCATTAAAATACAAAATATAATTAAAAAAAATGGTCGAAAGTTATTTCGACAGAACTTCCCCCGCTTCTGAAGTAGGTACAGTCCAACAAATACTGCTTCTCTGAAAACTGATAAAATTTGAATTTGTGGAATTTTACTTTTTCGTGAGTGTCTCTATAGAGTAAAAATAATATACAGTGTAATAGAAAAAAGGTTTTACACTCTTAAAATAAAAAAAAAAACACTTGGGGTCCTGAGAAGGTTTCGCCTTCTTTAAAAAAGGACAGTTGGGACCCCTGAGAAGGTTTCACATTCTTAAAAAAAGACGTTTGGGGCCCCCGAGAAGGTTTCACATTCTTAAAAGAAAGACATTTGGCGCCCCCGAGAAGGTTTTACATTTTTAAAAACGACTTGGGGCCCCCTAGAAGGTTTTACATTTTTAAAAAAGACAATTAGGATCCCCGAGAGTATTTCACATTCTTAAAAAAATACTTTAGGGGCCCCCGAGAAGGTTTTACATTCTAAAAAAAAGATATTTGTCGCCCCGAGAAGGTTTTACATTTTTAGAAAAGACAGTTGGGACCCCCGAGAAGGTTTCACATTCTTAAAAAAAACGTTTGCGGCCCCCGAGAAGGTTTCACATTCTTAAAAGAAAGACATTTGGCGCCCCCGAGAAGGTTTTACATTTTTAAAAAAGACTTTTGGGGCCCCCTAGAAGGTTATACATTTTTATAAAAGGCAGTTGGGACTCCCGAGATAGTTTCACATTCTTAAAAAAATACTTTTGGGGCCCCCGAGAAGGTTTTACATTCATAAAAAAATACTTTTGGGGCCCCCGAGAAAGTTTTACATTCTTAAAAAAAAACATGTGTCGCCCCGAGAAGGTTTTATATTTTTAGAAAACACAGTTGGGACCCCCGAGAAGATTCCACATTCTTAAAAAAATACTTTTGGGACCCCCGAAAAGGTTTTACATTCTTAAAAAAGACATTTGGGGCCCCCGAGAAGGTTTTACATTTTTAAAAAAGACAATTGGGACCCCCGAGAAGGTTTCACATTCTTAAAAAAATACTTTTGGGGCCCCCGAGAAAGTTTTACATTCTAAAAAAAAGATATTTGTCGCCCCGAGAAGGTTTTACATTTTTAGAAAACACAGTTGAGACCCCCGAGAAGGTTTCACATTCTTAAAAAAATACTTTTGGGGCCCCCGAGAAAGTTTTACATTCTTAAAAAAAAACATTTGTCCCCCCAAGAAGGTTTTACATTTTTAGAAAACACAGTTGGGACCCCCGAGAAGATTCCACATTCTTAAAAAAATACTTTTGGGGCCCCCGAGAAGGTTTTACATTTTTAGAAAAGACAGTTGAGACCCCCAAGAAGGTTTCACATTCTTAAAAAAATACTTTTGGGGCCCCCGAAAAGGTTTTACATTCTTAAAAAAGACATTTGGGGCTCCCGAGACGGTTTTACATTCTAAAAAAAAATATATTTGGCGCCTTCGAGAAGGTTTTACATTTTTAAAAAAGACAGTTGGGACCCCTGACAAGGTTTCACATTCTTAAAAAAATTGTCCGAAAGCTGCTTCGACAGTAGGTACTTCCCTCGCACCTAAAGTACAGTGAAATATATCCAGCATTTTTGACTTGAGTTTTTACTTTACAGAATTTTGTGATGACGTCATCACTAAAAATAACAGCATTGTTTTCCCAAATTTCGTGAACCGTTCTTAATTTAATCAAGAAAATAAATTGACCCATTCATTATTTTTTTTTAACCTACCTGCATAAGCAAATCTAAAAAATACGAATGCAATGATAAATCACAAGTAAAAACTCATCCTATTTTGCACATTTTGGGTAGATTTAGGAATTTAACTCGTTACTATAGAAATTTGCAATTTAACACCTTTAAATTTCACAAGTTTTTACAAGATTAATAGGGGTAAAATCAGTTTTATCTTAACAAATACTAGGCCCGCCCACCCACCCACTATTTTTTCAAAGGATTTGTGATTTGCCAAAATCAGTCTATCTTACCAAATACTAGCCCCGCCCACCCGCCCACTGTTTTCCCAAAGGATTTGTGATTTACCAAAATCAGTCTTATCTTATCAAATACTAGCCCCGCCCACCCGCCCACTGTTTTCCCAAAGGATATGTGATTTGCCAAAATCAGTCTTATCGTACCAAGTACTACCCTCTGAGAAAATAAAGACCGGGTGGGCGGGGCTAGTCCTTGCTAACATAAGTCTTACTTTGGCAAATGACATATCCTCTAAGAAAATAGGGGGCGGGTGGGCGGGGCTAGTACTTTCTAAGGTAAGACTGATTTTGGCAAATGCCATACCCTCTGAGAAAATAGGGGGCGAGTAGGGGGGCTAGCACTTGCTAGGATATGACAGATTTTGCCCTTATTAAACTTGTAAAAACTTGTTAAATTTAAATGGTATTAAATTGCATATTTCCATAGTAACGAGTTAAATTCCTAAATGTGATTGGATATTTTTGTTTTAACAACTCAGTCATTCATTTTTCTGAGACACCCTGTATAAGCAAATTCAAAAAATATTAATTATGTATTAAAAATAAATCAAGTATAGACTTGAAGATATTTTGCACATAGGGATAGGGTATATTCAGCAAAATTTTGAGATGACGTCATCAAACCAATATATTTTTTGATTAAAAATTTATTATGATTAGCATAAATTTAAAATATCTGTAAGATTTCAAAGCATTCAGTTTGACAGATTCAAAATAAAATTGCAAAATTTTGTTTTATAATTTTGATTTTTTCCAAAAATCGGGACGTTTTTGGGTAAAAACTCAACACGGAGTCATAAACTATGTTATTTTATACAGTTTAAAACCCATTTTCTATGTACAATTTTGAAATGACGTCAGAACCTTATTGGTGGCGATGATTGGACAAATTTTGATTAGCGTTTTACCATCTACATGATATTTCTAATATACATATAAAATTTGACAACAATCGGTCCAGCAGTTTCAGAGATCACGTGTTTCATAAAAATTTATATAGACACCAGACAGACAGATAGACGGACAGACGGAAACGGGAGACTCCTTTTTTCGTACTCTAGGGATCATGAAACGTCGAGAAAATATAAAAGTGACCATTCGTCCGATGGACTCGATTACTATACTTCCTTAACTTACGCTCGGGATGTAATAAAAGTAGTGAATAAAAAATCTTCGAAATGTCTTTGACGCATGACAAAAAACTAGCTCGGTCTGTGAATAAAACAGCTCGTTTTTTTAAGAAAATATAAGTCAAAAGTAACACAAAGAAAGCACCACAGATTTCGTTTCCAAGAATTTGAAACGACGTCATCAATTTATTGGAAGTGATGAATAGTAAATGTGTGTATTATTTTTCAGTGATTTCAAAACATGGAAATTTTCTAAAATAATCGAAGATTACGTATTATTGTTATTTAGTACTCTGTAAACTGTTAAATGGCAAGAACAAGTGAAATTGTCCAGAGGACCACATTAAAATCTTCACTGATCGGAAAATAAATGGAACAAAGGTGGAAAATAATTCTGGAGGTCGTAGACAGATCTGAAAAAAGCATTCTGATACAAATATTCGAAAATTAAAACGTATCTATGCAGAGGAACCAAAAATGTGGCTATTAGAGAATATAGGTTTGCAAAAGCTTGCGCTACACTAGGATTAAAACGAAAAAAAAAAGCTTTAGTAAGCTATAAAAATAACTATTACATTAATATTTACCAACAGTGTAGGAGAATTTATATGATTAATAAATGGTGGTTTGCGGTAAGTAATGTTATTGTTTGTCATCTAATTATTGTTACAATAATGATATAATACTAATTAAATTAATAATCAGTTAGCGTTACCGATCCTTTTTTGCTTTTGAAGCACAGTCTACACTGCCCTTTTGTGGTAATTTTTTGACATGAGACAAAAATTTATTGCCCAGACTTATATGTACTTCGACAAGTGCGTAGTTTATTTATTTGTCAAATAAACTTTCCAACCGGTAGACAAAACTAGAAACCTTGTATTTTCACATATTTAATATGATTTGCGAAACACAAAAACCCAAAATTGACGAATATTAACCTCGTTACAATGCTAGCATAATTGAGGAAACGTTCACCGAATAAATTACATTAAATTTAGACAAGTGAATGAATGCGTACACAACCAAGTAATAACACAACGAAAATAGAGACATACAAGTCTACGAATTTCGTTCGAAAACAAATCGAACCGAACCCGAGACTTTTGCTCATCGTTTCGGTTTATTGGCACTTCCAACCTGCCTGTTTATTGATAATTAATAAAAATCCATTGATACATCTCGATTTATCCCGCCGCAAAATATTTAGTTTGCGTCTGAGCCAATACCGCCACGGTATATTGCTTTCCTAAACAAACCGTAAAACAGTTTGATGGGCAAAAATCGGACACGTTTAGAGCGTAACCGCTACTTTATCATGTCATTAAAACCGAAAAACGACGATAATCGGTAATAAAATCCAACAATATCGTAGTTCATCTCTTCGACGAGACCCACAAGAGTCTGTAACCCCCATAACGGGGGCCGACCTATGACAGTTAACTGCTCGTAAAATTGCATCCTCTTCTTGTAAACACAACCCATGTAACGCTGGAGGACAGACTGTGACCGCAGCCCCCCGAAAGCGACGAAACGTCGCTCATTCTCTGCGCTGTGTGGAAGACGTCAGGAAGGCGCATTCAACACCAGTGGCGTGCCCTACATTCGCTGATTCATCCGGAAAGCATCCGATCGTGATCGATTTCGCTGCATTTTTCCGAGATCAAAGAATCTCAGCGCGGCGATGACGTCCCAGAACGAGATTGGTTTACGTGTTTTTAATAATATTTTCCTAACCAAATAAACCGAGGGTTTTATTACGCCAAGCAATTACTCACAAGTGATTTATTAACAAAATTGTTTTAGCGATCGCTCCTAATTTGCGTAATCGGATTCGATAATGGCGAGAGAAGACGCCGATCGGAAAAGTCCGACACGGGTGCAGCGGATCGGCAAAAAACGAACGGGAAGTGTAAGGTACCTAACGGCGCGTTCACACCGACATTAGTCGCAGTTTTTATGGAGATGATGTGGACGTCGAGTACTTTCACATCTCAGCGTGTGACTTCGCACTTAGATTAGACCATGTACGAGAGGCAGGGCCGGCTTTAAAATTTTAAATTTCAAATCTGTCTATCTTTTGGTGATTTTATTAATATAGTATCTTCATCCCTACCAAAAATTTGATGACGTCACCTTCAAATTTTGCTAAGTAAAGCTAACTTGTAGTATATATTATGACGTACTTAAATAAAATGTGTAGAATTAATTAATAATTTTTTACATGACATCCGATAAACTTCATTTATTCATCCCCTCCAGAAAATTGATGACGTTATCTGGAATATTGTTAAATAAATGCTTGTTCAAAAATGTTCGTTTTGGTTAAAGTTGGCTTCTCGTCGGCGGTGCTCGGAAAGAATTTTTATTGCGGGTTTACGTCCAGATATCTAGGATAATACTCTGTCTATTTTTTCATGTTGAAAAGCTAATAGAAGCAATAAACAGTATGCAAAAAATAACATTCTGATATTTTATAAATAAACGAAAATGCTGTTCACTTTCAATATGAAAAACGTCAATTATTTTTGGAGTTTTATAGTTTATTTTGTTTTAGAATTATGACCGAAATCTCCGTAATAATACTAAAATTCGGGTTTACTATGTTTAAAATAATTCTGATTGTGTTTTTGTGGGGAGTGAGAATGTTGAATGTATTAAATTTTGGGTTTTACGATTTCGCGATCGAAAAAATTCAGTCGGAATCGTACCCCAAAATAAAAATCTCGGTTACGTTTTTCTATAAAAACGACTAGATTTGTCGTTTTGGTGCGGCATAATTTGCTGGACCCCTGCATAAAAAGACACTAAATAAGTTGCAAAAGCAGGTTGAGACCACGACTAAGAAATGATGTATCGTTATTAGCATTTATGCGTTGGACCACACACAAACAACGACCTCTCTTAGAGGGATTAAATCAAAGAAAAATAAACGGAACGTCAGGTCCCGCGCGCGTTATCCTGATTTATTCCCACTAAATCCACGTTCGAGTCGCTTGACATTTTTATTTATTCAGTATGTGTACATGTTTTAATTAAAAATTCGATTGTCAATTCAGTTAGTCGCTTGTTACCAACAGGTGTTTCGTCCGATAAATCTCCCAAATAGCGTCCATGCAAATCAGGTATTATTAGCATTTTTATCAAGTTTTAGGACCCATAAATCAGCACGGTGTGTACCATCGCGTCGTGGAATTCCTTTCCGAATTCGTGTAATGAAATGGGTTTTCATCGTCGCCACATGGGCGCTCGGAAGCTTTCTCCGAGGGGGCAAATCCGTAAAACTCCACGAAACTTTTCAACCAAAAACACTGAATCGTCAAACACTAAACACCGACGTGAATGTTTTACTATAGTCAGTTTTTTCCAAATTTCGCCAAAACTGTGTTGTCGCAGCCAAAAAATTTCAGGATGCTTACAAGATTTTTTTTTTCGATATATTTTGGTTGGGTGATTCTTTAGGTGCGCTTTCGCGCTCGGAACCCGCGAGGGGTGACCGCCCCGTCGCCCCCCTCGCGCGCGCCCATGCCCGCCGAGGACCCAGCGACCCCTGCGACGGGCATAAATAATACCATTAAAGGTGAGGTTTAACAGCGGGCGTTCCCAGGAACCCTGCGGCGAGAATTACTGCCCGAATGAATAACTATATACTTTATTACATACTAATAACATGCTCACATTAGCATGTGACTTTTATGTAGGGTTATTAATCAGGTATTCACCGTCTCAGCTAAGCCTTTCACTGGACATGGGTGCATTTTCAATCGGCGATTCCGCAGTATGCGCATGGACATTGCTGACGTGTTTTACGCGCAAGTAGCGCAGATACCGCCGCGTAAATACAAAAATTACGACGAAAAACAAAATAAATATGCGACACTTAAATAAATGGGAGTTATGAGAGCTTTGCTCCAATAAACCACACATAAAACTGGATAATGCAGTCGGAACGAGAAATGTGCGCCACAGCTGAACCACGGAGACGTAAACATGGGTGGCGAAATCGGCACGATTTATTGGCCCCAACAGATCGAATTATAAAACACAAACACGAAAGCATACCGTCGGAAAGTTCGTTATCGCAGCGGGCTAACGCAGAAATAAGAACTACTCTAAATAGTCTTTGTGTTCATTCCTTGCAAAAGCTTGATGACGTCATCGCAAAATCTTGTCGACTGAATTTGTTCCGTCACACCACTTGTTATTTTTGTAACAATTTTTTCGTCATTATAACGTTCTGCCTCGAATTACTACGGTGTTCCGTGCCGGTTGCACCTCCGCACGTGACATCACCCCCTTGCCTCCACGCTCTGCTACGCCCATGCATAACAGACCGCATTATAATTCATCTCAATTTGTCAGACCGAAATGAATATAAATTTTTAATTCCACAAGTAGTCCTATTAAAATGATAAACGTCTATGCTTTCTCAATATTTATCTCACGGAATTTAAAAAATATTATTTAGAAAAATTCTATATTTACTACGTTTTTTATAATTTCTCGGAATGTGCCCAAATCGACCCCGGCACGATTTACAACCGCACATAAAACAGTCGAAACGTACCCGCTCGCCGATTCGTCATGGTGTCCCCGACCACGTGACCGCCACATTCACACCGTTGAATAGAAAAATAGCCGGTGCATCCAATTAAGGCGCGTAATCAATAACACAACGTCGGGCCCACATTTTTATGTAATGTTTTCGTCTCGATCTGGTTTGCGTCTTTGTATTTGCTTTTCCTTGTTTACGGAAGAATGATTGCCGCACGTTTATTATGTAGAAAAAGCGCATTTATCACGCCCGATGGCGCTGTGGTCGGCCACCGATTTAACCGACGTGGTTGCGGGCAAACCCGGCTCGCCGGACCGCTGGTCCGCTCTACTAACATAACGTCCTGAAATAAGAAATATGAGAAATTATTCTTGTCTCTGCGTGAATTCAAATTACTATTAAGCTGACTGTAGTAATCGTATAGTTGTCGTAAATACTTGGAAATATCACTTTACACTTTATTATGGGTTTTATGATCATTATTAATATTATGATTACAGTTTATTAAAATTGTCAGTGATGTACACTTTACACGAAGACTTCTGGTCTTGTACGAGCTGAACTCACGCCAGCTTTACGATCTTGGCGATACCAACCCAGAATGAAAAAAAATACTAACCGTGCAGACTTTATTGAACTAATTAACATAAGAACTCGTGGTGAAATTAAATCTTCGATAATCGATGGTGTGATAAGTGGCGTAAGCCTCGGAGAGGTGCACCAGAGCGTAGTACAAATTTTCAGGGTCGGCTTGGGGCCAAACGTCCCTCTTCGCTCTAGGCCTAGTGCTGTAGGGACGCCTGGTGGGTCTCTGCTGCACTCGAATGGGCCTCCTCGTGGGTCTGCGCCGCCTTATCGGCCGGAAAAAAGCCGCCGTGGGAGCCATCGTCGTCATATCCATAACCACCGTAGTACTTTTACCTTTGATCGCCTGCACCAAAAGACACAACAAATATCCACCGAACGCCAAAAACGCCAACGTCGTCACCGAAATCTGGAAAATACTCTGCACGCTCTTCTTGCCGCTCTTCTTCGAATGCTCCTCTTCGTAGTGGTAGTGGTACCCACCCCGGTCACTCGGGTTGCGCTTGCTTTGAAGAGCCAAAGCTTCAGGTGTGTCTTCACCCCCCTTTGCTTCAATTTTCTCATCACTGTCTTCATTCTTGAAAGTACTTTTCACCTGCAGCAGCTTCTCCAAGGGTAGTTCACTCAAAGTCTTCACGTCTACCAGCGACGAAATATCTTGAGGGAGCACCACCGGGAGCGTTAACACGAAGAACAAAAGAAGCATCTTCACGCATTGACACACGAAGAGTGACTTGCGTTGCTCAACCACACTTGACAAACCAAGCGGACCTCAGACACCGTTTAACCCTCGAAGATGTTAGTCGTGCTAATTCTAGCTCTCGTGGCTTCGTCCACCTGCGAAGAAAGAACAGTTTTCGGGAAGTTGAAGTCGGGGTTTCAGCTCGCAGGGAAGCTACTAGGGATCGACGAAGCCAACGGAGTCGCTCAACTGGTGAGCGAGGCTTTTGGAAAGTCGCACAAGAAAGGGGACGGAGCGGAAGGCACCGGGAACATTTTTTCGGGATTTTTGCGAATCCTGGGGTTCGATTCCAAGAAGATCGGCGCTATCGCTATAAACGCGATAATTTTTGTGGCACAACTGGTAAGTGACGATTTTTTTTATCAAAGTTGGCAATCGTATTGTAGATAAGTTCGTCTTTGTCGCGACCGAGGGTGTCCCAAATCACTGAAGGTCGTACCTTAAGAGACGGTACTCCTTTGGACTGGATGATGAGCAGTCCGGAGGTCATGAGGATGTTCCAACACATCAAAGACAGAGATTTGCCGGACCATATTATCATGTATATTAAAGAGAGGGCTTTGGATGAAGACAGCGATTGCGTACAGTTGTTGATTTGTAAAGGCGCCCCTTTTGTTTGGGGGATGCAGAGGGTTTTAGATGGTAACAGTACCACCGTCAAAGGAGCTAAATCATTGTATGCGTTTCTACCAACTTTGGAGGACGTGATCGACCACGCGGATACCTGTGACCGAAAACACCCCTACTGTTTCGTCCACCTTTAATAAATAAAGTCTAGTTGGATGTACTTAGTACTTTATTTAACTACTAAAAGCTATTTCTAAATCGTGGCACAACTTGTGCCTTTCGTGCGACCTCGCACTCTTCAAATCGCACAAAATCTGAAGTTTACACTTGGCGTCGCACGTCGGTCTCACCGGACTGTCACGATAATAGTACCTGCAATTACTCGATTAGTACCCACTCGACTGTACGTGCGTACTCACTTATAAAACAACTCGAACAAATCTGCGTTGTTGACGAGGTCGTCGACCAGTTTCGCCCAGCTTTTGGGCCGGAGCGACTCCATCTGATAAGAGTTTTTAGCCGAGTACAAACGGTACCACGTTGGTTCATCTTCGCTTTTGTTGGCCTCTTCTAAGTCAATCGTCCAGGTTTCGTGGTCAAGTACTTCCTGCAAATCGCGTTTAAATTAAATGAGTAAGACGGCGGGGGTGAAAGTACCCTGGTACTGTTCGCGTGGTCGCCGTCCACGTAGTAGATTCTGTAAGCGGGATTATGATTCTCGTACGTCGTGACTGACGGTCCTAAATAAGCAACCCCTACCGCTCGGTCTACAAATCAAACAATCTTTTTATTTTTGCGTTTTGTGCTTTGTGCTTTGGTCTCTTACTAGTTTCTTTCGCTTCCATTTCGTAGAAAACTTCAAACTCGTCTGCGTGCGTGTGGCCATAAAACTGGCCTTGAATCGTGTTTTCGTACCGCTGGACGATCGCGTTGAAGTTTCTAGACCACACTTTCATGCAGTCGGAAGCTCCTGGTGGAATGTGGCCTAAAATACGTGCATTGGTAGTACTGTTGTAAAATTAAGTCGTACCGTACCTATGATGTGTACTTTCTCGCCTTTGTTCTCCGCTTCCTGGAGCTCGTGGATGAGCCATTGTAACTCTTTAGCAGGGTCCGTGCTATTGACCACCAGCCACCTAAAATCGCGTTTGATTTAAATTTAAGACACTCTTTTGGTTGCAGATTACCAGCTCAACGTATGACAGTAGTTGGTGTTGAGTGAAATAATCCTGAACCCTGGTCGCAACAAGATGGAGTAGAAACCTCCATGGAGTACCGTGTTTCCGACGCTCGCAGGCAACCACTTCCTCCAATGGTCGGCAACCTTGGTGTACAACCAGGAGACGGAATGGTCAGGATCATGGACCCACGGTGGAGCGAAACTTCCAGCCGGAATCGACTCGTGGTTGCCCAACGCTGGGAAAATGGGCGTGTTGGGGAAAACCTCGAACATTTGCTCCACAGTTTCCTGAATAATGTCTAAATTGCTAGATTTGCTTTGATTCCAGATGTCGTGCGGAGGTAGATCACCGGTCCATAAAATGTAGTCTATATCCTATAACAACCTAGTATAGTAGAAATAGTAGTTTGAAGAGGTGCGGTTTCATACAGGGTGGTCCCGCGCTATGCTCTTCAACATACTGTCGAGCAGAACCTTGGGGGAGTCACACTTTTCGTAGCTCCCCCATTTCCCGGCTGGTACTACATCCGCTGTCAGTGGCGGAGTGCTGGTGCTCCTGCAACACAAAGGCTCTTCGCAGTTGGCCGCACTGCCTACGACGTAGTCAGGGTCGTAGTGGGTATCCGACAAGTGCAAAACTTTGAAAGTTGGTAAACCTGGCTAAAATTCCTACTTGTATGGTTATTTTCCAAGTGTGGATGCCTTACTTTGGGAAGGTCGGGCTCACGGGTAACCGGTTTCGGAACTTCGGGGAACTGCACCTCCCACTGATGGAGGGGATTTTTGACGTCACCGCAAACTTCCCCGAGACACAGAGCGCAAACCTCGTCAGCACCTTGAGACAAAAAATAACCTTCACTTATACCCATCATACCCACTATTATTACCGATTCGCACTGCCTTGAGTGCCGGAAGAACGTCAGGGCCGAAAACATCGAAAACTCCGGTACACACGGACTCACTCTCGACTTTGAAAGCCACGCACAGGCCCACAAACTGGGTCCTTATGTTTTCGAAGCTGGTGTTTTTTCGGACTTCTCGCTGGAGGAGGCCTACGCCTGTGGTAAAAAGGTTAGGCAAGGGCGACCTTGTTTGGGAGAAAGTTACCTAGGCGGCATACGGAGCACGACACTCTGGATCTCACAGCATCTCCTAGTTTCTTGGCCACACGTTCGGGTACAGACGACGATGACTGCACAAATTTCGTGTCAGGAACGTCAACCTAGAACCAAGTGTGTGAAGGCTGATTTTAAGTAAATAAGCATCAACCTTGATTTCTGGTGGTAAGATGTGGTTGTGGGTCACTTCGCCGATGAGAGGTTCACTGTGAGGCTGGATTTTGTAATCCCAGTCGTCTTCGAAATTGTGTACATTCACCGAGGCGATGGGAGTGGCGTCTGAAAAAGATTAAACCTTACGAAAGAAGAGAGTTTATAGTTACATAAGGTTGTTTACGCGCTTAAACTGGACCAGGTGGATGAGTCCAAACATATTGCGGTTGTATTATTTGTGCTAAATTAACTTACGGGTTGTTAGCCGGTGGAGGAGGAACAGCGGGATGATGGCAACTACGGTCGTCGCTCCCTACGAAGAAAACCAAAGTTCACAAAATTAAGGTAAAAATGAAAGGACTCACCATCTTGTCGCTGCGGGTTTTCACGCGCGAATCAAGAGAAATAATTTGAAGCTTAATATTTTATTCTGCAGTTCAACATTCAAGGCTGTCCGCTAAATACAAACTACACATCGTTGGTTCTGATGTTTAATAATAATGCAAACACTAACAATAACAAACGTTTATACAGGAAGCTCTCCTAATTACCTTTCTGTTTCGGATACACAAATCTTGTTAAAATGTAACGACCGAATTACAACATGTACCATTTGTGGAAGTCATGGAAAATGATTAATATTATCAACGGTTAGCCAACACGCTGTTATTTAATTGATCGAGTATTTAACACGATTCACACATTGGGAAAATCCAGGTGTACCGTATTTTTTATATATAAACGTCATGTTTTTCTGTAAATATTGAGCGTCAAAGTCCGCGGAAACATTCTGCGTTATTAGTAAAAAAAACTTGCTATAATGCTCAATTAAAGATGCGGTTGGTTTCGTCACTTAATTAGTATTCGTTTTGTGTACATGGTCGACATAAATGGTTGAACAAAGGGATATAAAGTTTATCAGATGGAAAATATACGTTTGTACGAATTTCTTGCTAATTTATTAGTGGTATTTACAAATAACACACAAAAAAATTACTGCTAAAATTATCCTAAAAACAGAAAAAACCTGTTGTGTAAATGGTAGAATAGAATGTAAACTAAAACTGTTTTTTTTTGTACTGCTAAAGTACAAGTTTTTCAACGTCGAAAATAGCGCGTCATAATTGTATCACCTTTCCGCAAAAAACAAAAATCGTCATTTGCAGGATTAAATCGACCAATTCTTTTTTTTTTCGTTTTGCAGTCTTGTTAGACAAATGCAAGACTGTAGATTGCAACATCGATTATTTCATGTCAGCACTGCTACCAATTTTTGGCATTCTTTGAAACTTGGGCTTAAGGGTACCCAGTAGCAGACCGAAAAATGAGCTAAATAGATTTTTATTTTACGGGCGTAATTTCAACTTTGAAAAAAAGATCGACATTTCAATTGATAGATTATGTCTAAATCTCTGGGGAACACACAATATTTTTTAAAATAAGCGATTGTTTAGTGTTTAATTAATCGTTCATTCTTCGAAGGAATTTGCATTTTTAAACGAGGAGAGAGCATTTTTAGCTTCAGCTTTTATATCAGTGCAAAGACAACATTCAGCTCTATGGGGAAGACCCGGTCATTTTTGTTTAAAATTTATATTTATCAAAATATTTGCCTTTTAAAAAAATACTGAATAATGAAATTAAATTGAAACTAGGCAACTCTATTTACAAAGGATTCGTTTCCATAAATGGTTGAGTTTGACACAGCAGGGAACCTTGCCGAGTGATCCTTTCAGGTAATCCGTCCAGGTACTTTCATAAACCGTCATGTCATAAAACTCATAAATACTTTTAGCTTACGAACATTGTTGAAACTCTTTTACAAGTCGACTTCTTTCATTGCTAACATAATTTGAATTAAAAGTATGCAAATTTTTATAATTTTATACATTCTACTAAAACATTTTCTTACAAAAAGTTATTCCAGTATTTTTTACTAATCTGTCATTCTATATATAAATCAATACACAAAACTGACAAGATTTAGATTCTCATCACTTCACTAACCACTTATTTACTTGAACAATCATATTTATTTAAATTTAATTTTTTGATATTCTTTTCCGCACCACGTATGAGGTAGAGTATTATAGGCACGTTTTTTACGTGATATCTCCAGTAAACCTATTCCAATATTACTATTTATCCCTGTGCGTGTTTATAGTAGAAGGGGAAAAGGTTTATATGAACTAAGTACACATGACGCGAATGCAAATAAAAAATTTTAATTGTACAATCTTTTCTTTACAATTTGTCTAATGGGTTGATTTGTTTAATAACGAGAATCTACTCTCTCCAGAAGTAAGGCATAAAATAAAATTTTTCTCTCTATCTATTTCGCTCTATCATATTATTTTCCCAAAATTTATCATCTCGTTGAATTAAGCATTATTTAAATTGGACATTTTATATATTTCTAAGATAGCGTTTTTGTTTATTAAGCCGTCTGGCGATGCCGCTAAAAATGTACAAACCGCATTTTCAAGTAATCAAGCAATAGATTTTTTTCGGAAAGTACAGTTAATTTTTATGTTTTAGCAGCAATGTGTTCTATTTTCTATTAATTTTTAGGTACATATTTTTAGTCACAATTTTGGTAGTTATTTTTTACTTTTATTTTTAGCAATAATAAATAGTCCAAACATGAAAAAATAAAAAAAAATTAAAATCGGAAAATCTAAAATTTAGAAATCGAGAAATTGAACAATCGTATAATTGAAAACTCGAAACATCGAAAAATTGGAAAATCGAAAAATTAAAAAAAAATGGAAAATCAGAAATATAATGAATTCCGAAAATTGAAAAACTGAAATATGCATAGAAGAACTGAAAACTGGAGAAATCGAAAAATCTAGAATTTTAAAAATTGAAAAATTAAAATATCGAAAAGTTGAAAAATTGCGAAATCGTATCAGTGAAACATCGGACAATTGAGAAATCGAAAAATAAGAAAATGGAGAAATCGAAAATTTGAAGAATGGAAAAATTGAAAATGTCAAAAATTAAAATAGTGAAAAATTGAAACATCAAAAGTTGAAAAATCGAAAAACCGAAAAGTCGAAAAATCTCAATAATTATCTCAGGATTATGCTACTAAAAAATTGATAACATCATCTCAAAATTTTGCTGAATAAATTCTACTAAAAATGGGCAAAATATGATGAGTTTTTACTTGTAATTTATCATTGCATTCATATTTTTTTAGATTTGCTTATTATATATCTAGGTGGCTCAAAAAAATTAATGAATGAGTCAATTTATTCTATTGATTAAATCAGTCTCGACTCACTTCATTTTCCCAGAAATTTTTGGAATACTGTTATTTTTAGTCTAATCCACATTGATTTACGTGTCCTTGCAAAATGTTGATGATTTCATCACAAAATGTGTACCTAAAGTAAAAATTTAACTCGAAAATGCTGGATATGTTTCATTGTATTTTAGGTGCGAGGGAAGTTCTGTCGAAACAACTTTCCACCAATTTTTCTTGCTGTTATATTTGAACATAAACAGTTTATTTTATATATTTTCAAAACATTATAAAGAAAATAAAAAGTTGTTTTAGACTGCACCTTGTGGGTTTCTCAATCTATTTTCCGCAGCATTTTAAACTTTCAAATCAATTTCTTTCAAAATAGATAGAAATTAGAAATGGATTTCGATGGTTATTTCCCTGTACCCTTCATTTCAAAATAAATAAGCTTATCTGGTGTTATTTACCGATTTGCATTTTATGGCGGACTCTCTACAGTGACCATAATCTCTCCTCTCTTGGGTCGCTACCTGCCGTGCATCCGTACTTTGGGTTGCATAGTTACAAAAAATAATTCTTCTCACTGAACACGATATTTTGCGGGCGACGACTGGGGACCCTTAAAGCTGCTGTTTTAAAGTTAAAATACATCTTATAACTTTGAACATAGGCAACCCATAATACTGCAATTGATTTCTTGTAGTTTATACGAACACAGATTGGATTTAAATAATTTGATTTTTTTTTTATTGTACTGTCAAGTTTTAACCATCTACTATCTTCTAGTCGTTGAATACAGCTATCGCATTTTTAGATTTCACTAGACGCAACCGCACTGACAAGTGTCAAGCACGTCTAACCTCACATTTTCAAAATGTCTCACGTGGACTTAGGTTTCCCCCTGGAGTGTGAACCCTGGCGTCTCCAAAGCTACCACTTTCCCAGCAAAATAGGGGGCAAGCCAGCCTGGCTGATTCTAGGAGATCTGCCCCCCCCAGAAGCCCTGCAATGTGATCTGTGCCACCACCCGCTCATCTTCCTCTGCCAAATCTACGCCCCGTTTGAAGAATCTGAAGCCAATTTCCACCGAACCATCTTCATTTTCATTTGCAGAGACCCCAAGTGTTGCGTCCGCAACTCCAACTGTAATATCAAAGCCTTCAGGTGCTCGTTACCCCGCGAAAACAAATTTTACTCGTTCGAGCCCCCTGAAGACAAAAAAGACGCGACTTTTTCGGTGGAAAAGTGGTCAAAGTTGTGTAGCGTTTGTGGGTGTTTGGGGTCCAAGGTTTGCGGTAGGTGTAAAGTGGTGAATTATTGTAGTCGGGAGCATCAAATGGTTGACTGGAAAGAAGGACATAAAAGTGAATGTGGGGTTGCAGGGGTAGATAAAGATCGAGTTTCGTTCAAGTTGTTTCCGCAGTTTGAATTAGTGATTGAAGGTGAACCGCACAATGAACGAAACGTCGACGAAAAGGAAGAAATGCGCAAATTTGAAGAGATGGAAAGTGGCGGGAAAATTGGAACCATGAGTGACGTCGCTGAGTGCGATATGGAACAGTACGCGATTTGTGATAGTGATAAGGCTTTTACACGTTTCAAAGAACGGATTGCTGATAACAGCGACCAGGTTTTGAGGTATGAACGTGGCGGGCAACCTTTGTGGATTGCGAATGAGCCTAAACCCGACTTTATTCCTGAGTGTGAATATTGTATGAGACCTCGACAATATGAATTTCAAATTATGCCCCAAATGTTAACCGCTTTGCATGAAAATGAACTAGATTTTGGCGTCATTGTTGTTTACAGCTGTACTGATAGTTGTACGGAAGGAATTGCGTATAAAAATGAGTTCGTTTTCAAACAAGATGTTTCCACAAATTGTTGAGTTCAGAGATTATATAAAAATAGTGACTGAGTCAATAAATATTTCGGATAATGCATTGTAGAGTTGATAATCGGGGCGATAAGATTTTTATTTGTCGGGTGAAACGTCACCGTAGAATGTGCACGTTAATCTCCTTGTAAAGATAATTGTTTGTAAATTTAATTTTGTTGCAGAGAACAAATATTTATGATTTTATAGGTCCTAATAAAACGCAGGTTTACTCAAATTGTTTTATTGATTTTTTTCCCAAAGAAAAAATTATAAAAAAAGAAAAATTATACATATAATTAAGTCTGAAAACAATGTAAAATTAATCACTTTCGTCTAGTGAATAAAAAACAGTCGTACAGAAATAATTTTATTAAATACCTGTCAACCAAAGCAGCACTGAGACTAGTGTGAAAATTTTATTGCATAAATTTCGTCAATGACGCAAGCATAGAACTCCATCTTTAGACAATAAATAATAAAATAAATACTCCATTGGCACAACCCTGACGAAGCTTTAACAGATTAAGTACGGCAAGATTTGTACTAAAACTAAGTGACTAACATAGCTGCAATAAATATGGACGGTTCTATCACAAAATCTCTTCAAGATTGACTTTTCAAGTTCTCAAACTGCATAATCAACGAATGCGTACGCCTGCTCTCCAGCTCTTCGTCCGACGTGTCGCACAGCTCCGCCAGCGACTTCCCTCTCTTCAACACCCGGGGCACCGGGCCCCCTTCCTCCGTCAAGTCCTCGCTGCTGTAGAACTGCGCCATCGAGCGCGCCGGCTGCAAATTCGTCTGGACCTCCTGCTCCTTCTCCAACGCCGCCATCAAATCCGGCTGAGACTTCTTCCTCTCGAGCCTCAACTCGGCCTCGCGCTTCTGGAACTCCATCAACTCCCTCTTCATCTTCTCCTCCGCCGAGACGTACCCGTTCCTGATGGGCCTGCCGGCCTCTATGGTAACTTTCGCGGGCTCGAACGTCTCCTCGGGCACCCACGAACTCTGCGTCTCCACCTTGGGCTTCATCGTAACCATGTTCATCTTGCCACGCATTTTCAGGAATTTCTGCATTACTCCCTTGGACGACACGTTGGGGGCGAAGAGCCGCGCGGCCGTCTTGGGGGTGTCGAGACCGTTCGCCACCGGGGCCCGCGGGGCCGGCGTGGGCGGCTCGGGGCTGGGGGTCTTGAAACCGTTGGTGTGCGCTTCGGGCTCATTGTTATTGAGGAGGTTGTACTTCTGGCGGAGCTCCTCTTCGCGCTGCAGCGCCTCCTGGATTTCCCGCTGAATGCGGTCCAGGGTCTCGTTTCCTGTGCTTTCCATCACTTTTTGGGGACACCTGTTGATAGCGATTATCAGTGGGCGATAACGCGCTCGCACAACGTACCTTTCGCTGCAGTACACGTACTGACATCACTTTTAGTTAATTGCTAATGGGGCTCGTTATCAACATTTTCACGAATTTTTATCTTTTATGGTGTTTGGAGCGAGTGCTTGCGCGGCACGCTGATTCGGGGACAGATAAAAACCGTTGTGTGTATGTTGGGTTGCCTACTCAGAGCAGGACGTACGTCCGAGATTGACCCGGCAAGTGGGGGATAAGCTTTGTTGATGCGATAATTGTTGTTATTGTTTGATTAATGTGCGGTTTTTCATTAAAAAATTAAGCTCTTGATTAATCATAAACGTGAAGGTAAAATTTGCAGCAGATGGTCTTATCGTGGCGGCGGCCAGTGGCGGCACGCTGGGGGTGGCAATCCACCTTTCATGAGTTGTTAGTGGTATTTATGTCAAAAGAATGTCATATTTGTCAATTGTTGACCACCTCGACCCACATAAAATACGCTTTTATGGTCAAGTAAACGAGTTGTGTCTCAAAAAAGAAATGTCTCCCTCAACAACAAATCTCCCGCCACCACTGCCTGCCGACGCAATCCCCGACACACGTCCGCCAATTGAATTTGGAGAATCCTGTCCCAGGAGGTCATGGACCAGCTCCCATTTACAGGTTCAAAAAGTAGAACACTCATGGTACAGCACGTCACCCAACAACAGTTATCCCCACAATCTCTTCCCACGTGCTTGCGCCGCACTCCTCCTGTCGCCAGATGGCGCCACCCCAAACGTCAAAAGTGACATTCCGCAGTGGCACAGTTTCTCTGTCTCGCGTAAAAAAATCGCAGTGATGACTCTCGTAAACCCCGACGAGCAGAAAAACCAGCAGGTGGCGGGCGACCCCAACACCGCCATCAAGGTGAAGACGCCCAAACGCATCCTCCACTTCAGCGACGGCGTCCTGGAGGAGTACAGCGACGACGAAGTCGACAACACCCCGCAGGAGGAGCAGGCAGTTGTTGATCCCGTAAGTTTGCGGTTGGCGTGTAGATGGCGCCCGTGACGGTGCTTGTTTGGGGTTTAGAGCAGCCTGACATGGGGGCCCTGGTTTTGGTACAAGACGTGGCGGGCAGGTGCCGGCACGTTGGCCGTGGTGGATTCGATCGGCGAGTTCTTGGCGGCGTTTTTCGGGATTACCACCCCCAAGTATTATTTCGAGCTGGAGGAGTACAAGAGGAGGGAGGCTGATGCGAAGAACGAGAAGGAGCTGAAGGAAGGGTGGTCCGAGGCTTCGACTGCCGAGAATTTTACGCTGAAGGAGGTTAATACGAAGCAGCCGCAGCCCGTCCAGGTTTAAAATGAAAAAGGTAGTGTTGGGGGTGGGGTATGCAACCAATTAAACGTGTGTGGATACCGACTACTGAATTTTATTTATTTTTTATTACTGTTTTTTTTAACTACTTTTGTAATATTTATATTATTTGCACTTTCCTCGCAGTTTTTTAATTCCCTTTATTTATAGTTTAAGATTTTTAATTTCAGTGGCAACTTGTTTTGGACGTTGCGACCATCTTCAGGGCTAAGTTTGTTCATTCGTACGTAATGTAATGTGTGGTGTATTGTTTTAACACCAAATGCGAAATTAATTAATTACGGCAATAATATGTAAATGAAATAAATTTTTGAACTGTGCTTTTGAAAATATTTTGATTCAGAGTTAGCTTACGGACGCAGCATAAAAATATTTTTGTCTGCTACTAAAGTAAAGCGTTTTTGATCACGTTTCCGAACAATTTGATTTTAGATTTTTCAGCTTGCTAATTTTTCCTTCTTAAATACTGGTTCAGATGAAATATTTAGAAGTTCGATATTGTGTTGTTTTTTGGACCTAAGATTCAAAATTTCTTTGTAAATTTCAATCAGAAACGTTGAATGTACTTTTACATGAACTTCATAACATGAAATATTGGGTTGAGACGCTTTCTCGGCCGAAGAACTTCTCCCAGAGATATATTTTACCTTTTTTGTAGTAAATTTTATTTGTTTGATCGCTTCTTCTTTTTGTTTTTATTGTTTTTTGAAGTAGAAATAAGACGGTATAGGAATTTGCGACAAAGTCTATTTTCTCAATCTTGAGTAAAAACGAGAATAGAGTACAGTGTCTGTCGCTTGTGACGCTAGTTGAAAAAGTTTCAGCTGGTGTGGTTATCGCTTTCCAATGCCGAAATAAGCCTTCCTGGAGTTCGTCAGAGCCGAAGACAGTTCAACTGTTGCCGCAGTCGTAGTGTCAGATTTGCAGCGTCTCGTAGTATTTCCAGTAATCCGCGCATCCCTCGCGTAAAAATTGAATTTCCTCGCCCTCCCCGAAAGCGAAAGCTCAAAAATTACCATTGTAAATAAAGTGCAAAGAAGTCCTACATCGTGGAGGCGTTGGCAGTCAGCTGAGCGCTAAGTGGGTGTATTTTTAAAAAGAGATTTCTCGAGTCAGCTCGTGCTCCACTCTAAAGCACTAAAACAAAGTTGGAATTTTAAACAGCAATTTAAAAGCTGTTCCGCGGCGCGCTCGCCAACTTTTTTCAAAAAGGAATAAGAAAAAGCCGTAAAGAACCATGACCTAGCCCTACTACCCGGCTTTAGTACGCTACTGCTACGCAAGACGTCGTCGACGACTCTCATTCATAATTAGTGAGAGTTTTTAAACGGCTGGCTCGATCCATCGACGTGACGTCATCGTCGCATTGTCGACAAGACGCCCTCGACTCCGCCAAATTATTGCTCAAAGTTTTCTTCGTTCGCGTTTTTAAGTGCCGGAGAAAGCGCCATTCGAACGGCAAGGTCGCGACTTTGCAGTGTACACGCTGTTACGCGTTGACGTTTGCGGAGTAGGAAGCTAAGTCGTAACTTATTGCGGCTTCGTGCAAAGTTTTCTTTATTCGAGTAAGTTGTGCGGATGTTTTTTGTCTCGACGAGGGACACAAAGGATTTTTTGCAAAGCCGGAATGGAGATATCGTGCGCTAAAAAATATACCGGAAAATTCCGGTGAGCCGGGGTGGTATTGTGCTTGTGTAAAGGGCATGTAAGGTGTGCGTTCTTGTTTTTCACTTGGCTTATTCGTGATATGTTGCGTTTGGGTTTTTCGAAGAGATGACGTGTGAGATAACGTGATAAGGCTGTTACGAATGTAGAGAGTGTTTTATGAGATAATGTCGTCGAAAATGAAAAAAAAACGGATGTGTTTACACGTATGATAGTTTCAAAATTTTCAAGATTGTTGACTAAATAAGTTTTTGTTATATTGTATAATAGAGTATGCCACTTTACAATTACAGTGAAAACCAATTGAGGAAATAGTAGTTGTTATATATGCATTTGTTGTGTCGAGATGATATCTATTCTTTACTGAAGTGGCTTTTAACTGAAGTAGCGAGTACTATTCTGATTTTATCTGATCGTAAATAATTAGGATATGATGTCAGTGGAGTGATGGGTGTATTTTTGTTAACTCACTTACGATTGATGTGTTTTTCCTTTAGTGCGAGTCATTTCTAATTTTTTTTCAAACCAAAAAAAGCCGCTTGTTTATGAAGAAGTCGTGTCATTGCTTTAAAATGACGTCATCAGTTTTCTGCAAGGGTTAAGAATCTTTAAACCGTATGTTAAGAACGTGATCCAGCACATTCCAAGTCAAGTTTACGCAACGCATAATAGATAAATTTTAGATAACAAGTTGCATGAAGTTTCGACCTTCATTGTATAAAATAAAAGAATTGAACTCAATCAACCAATAGCTATCAAAATCACTGTTTTTGTAGTCATCTCCTTGAGAAAGTTGATGACGTCATATCAGAATTGTACTAAATATATATATTTTTGTGATAACATATTTTTATTTTGTAAAATTAGTAATTTTATTGATTAAATCAGATGCGTAGTATCTTTTTTTTTCTAGAATCACATCAGGGAACTTCGATCTAAATAATTGTATCGATAAAAAACATTCCGATAGTTCGTAATCAATAAGTATTTCAAATATCTTCATGACTTGTTTCGTTGTACCCAATATTAAAAAAATAGTTCACAACCTGTCATTGTCGAAAATAAATTTTTGACTTTTTAAAAATTTGAAACCGTGGTGTCAGTTGGCATTAAAAGGCTAATAGGAGTCTAGGAAACCCAAAATTAAAAAAAGGATCTACAATGTTTAACCCGTTATTAACAAAAAAAATCCTTTCACATCTTTGTCGTTCAAAATTGTGCACATTTTGAAAAAAATTAGAAGAGATCACCGACATTTTCGAATTACCATTTGTGAAATACTAAAATACTTGAAAAAAATCTGGAGAATGCTGAAAAGTAGAAAATATTTTTGTGCTTGTTTTTTTAATAGTGGTGATGCAACATTTAAAAATACTTCGCTGCAGAGGCGGCGGAAGTTTGGCTAAATAATTTCACACATGTTTCAGCGTTAAAATAATTGTAATTAAATATTTATTTCCACATTTTTAGATGACAGTTTGAATGTTTTTCGATATTTATTTCTTCCCTACTACACAGGTTGAAAAAAATTGGAGAAAATTGTGTAATCCACGACGTTTCGGTAAAATCCGCGTCCACTTGGCCCTTTGTTGCCGCCCCCTCCCCCGACACCAGTTACATCTATCGGCGGTGCTAATTAATCATTCGCGAGCATTGAGAGCGTTTCCCTGTCGGGGGTTATTTATCATTCGGGGGTGCGCGCGGCGCGGGGCGCCAACATTGTAGGACGTGTGAGCGGGCGGACGGGGTGAGGGGCCGCGTCCCTGGTCCAGGGTAATTACCCGGATGCTGAAGCCCCGCCCGACCAATGGCAGGCCGGGCAGAGCCACCCTCGTGTTGTTGCCGATCGATTGGGGAGCACGCATGCGTCCACTGGACACTGGCCAGCTGGACGGGGAGGGCACGAGGGGTCAAAGGGTCACTCTACCTGAGGCCGGACATGTGTACGGCCGACACTTACATTGAGGGATAATTTGGCCCGGGCTGGAGTTTGTTATTAACTGGTTATTAATCATTCGGGGGCTGGAAGGGAGGGGTTGGGTGGGTTGTAATGTGTGGAAGACGGGACTCTGCGTGAATTTGGCAATTTTGGGGAGAACTGAACGTTATATAAATGGTACGCATTATGTACAGGATTCTAGGGTGGAATGAGCGGTTTTTATATATGGGAGGATTGGTTGAAACATGGTTGTTTCTAGGGTTTTTGTTTATTAGGTGTTAGGTTTTAACTTCTTAATATAACGAGTGATTTTTTTCCCGAAACCAGTTGTTGAACTGGTACTTAAATAAAAGTTCTTTCTTAATTTGTAAGTTGTAATTTATCTGTGGATTTTTCGATTTATAATTGACTCAGAAGTTCTTAAAAGATGTTTATTTTGTAAAAAAAAAATTAAATCCAACAGAACAGTTTATCAAAATACGAAAACGCAAATTTCCCGTCTTTGTCTGTCGTTTGTGGTAATTACATTGCCTATATTGTTTCTAAAATAATTATTTTCGAGCTTAGAAATAAAAATCACAAATCTGAAAATTAGGATCGTCAAAAATTTTATCATTACGAATTGAAGATGAGCTTCACCAGTGTCGAAACATCTTGGTTAAATCCAAATACGTTGTAACAAGTAGTTCGCAAGTTCTAATTTTTTGTAGTTTTGGTCCCTAAGTTTTTCCTTTACAAAATTTCGTGTTGACGTCATCAACATTTTTGCAAGGACATCAAATAGGTGCTATGTAATACTAATAATAACAGTATTGTTTTTCCAAATTTTTGGGAAAATGGAGTGAGCCGTTCCTGATTTAATAGATGGACTAATTCATTAATTTTTTTGAGTCACCCCGTAGAAGTTATTCTAAAACCTATGAATGCAATGAAAAATCACCAATTGTGGATGGGGCTGGTACTTATAAAGACTAATTTCGCCAAATAACATACCCAATATCAGCCTTATATTGGCAAGCACTAGCCCCGCCCACCCGCCCTCTAAGAAAATAGAGGGCGGGTGGGCGGGGCTAGACCTGCTAAAATAAGACCGATTTTGGCAAATAGCCTACTCTCTAAGGAAATGAAGGGCGAGTGGACGGGGCTGTTAAAATAAAAATTTCGCCAAATACAAACCCTCTAAGAAAATAAAAGGTAGAGGCTATTTCATTTGGCAAAATCAGTCGTATCTTGCAAGTCTTGGCCCCGCCCACCCACCCTTTATTTTCCTAGAGAATAGGTCATTTGCCAAAATGAGTCTTATTTTGGTAAGTACTCGCCCCACCCACCCACCCGCCCTTTATTTTCTTATGTTTTACAATTTCGATAGGATTTATTCGGCAAAAATTTGA